ATACATAAAACTTTTCAATTTATTATCTTCTTTTCAATAATTCTTTCTACTTTAGATTATCAGTAAAAAATAATAAGCTCTTATATGAAATTTTTAGTATTTTAGAGGATATAATTAGAAAAAAAAATAACCAGTTACAAAAAAACAATTTTTTATCACCAAAAGTCAATGAACATATCCTCATAAGTTTGATAGACCATTTGCTTACCTAATCATATTACTATTACTATTACATAAACTTTTTGTAAAACAAATAATTCGGAATCATAACAGCAAATTTGCACTAATGTCCTCTAAGCTTGTAAAATTCTCTAAACAGGTATTAACCCTGACAACTACAGCACAAAATATATTTGTCTAAATTTCATTTTTCAGGCAGATAGGGTAAGTCAGGAGTAGGTTATGATCACAGTTAAGGAAGTTTTTATTTTATTTATTTATTTTAAATGATATTTACAACTGTATACAAAAAAAAATACATCCAGTAAATTTGCACATTGGTATAAAGACATGGAACACATGTTGAGAAACTACCCATTGGTAGCACTCTAATAATATGTCTATATTAGAAGATCACGTGGCCATCTTCTTTTCAGACGCCTCGGAGGGTTATCAGGAATCGAATAGGAAGCAAGGTTAGAGACAAGAGGGTTGGGATGGTTATGAAGTTTATTATGGAAGGACAGATATCTGGATTGGGCCAAATCTGATACATAAGGAACATTAAGGTCATTATGGATAATTTTATTTGTAACAAAGTAAGGAGCATTGAGGATTTTACGATTTTGGATTGCAAGGACTGTATGCGAGAGGAATTTGAAGGCTTGGTGGAGCCCCATAGCTCAACCCCGTAAGTCCAAATAGGCCTTATTATAGTCATGTAAATCAGTCTTTTATAATTGATTGGAAGGTTAGAGCGTTTGTCTAGTAAGTGTTGAAGTAGTCGGAAACGTCGAGCGGTTTCTTGTCGTTTCAGTCTGGTATGAGGATTCCAAGTTAGACGTTTGTCCAGATGGAGTCCTAGGTAACGGATTTGTTCAACAGGAATAAGTGAGGTGTTGTTAAAGGATACTGAAGGACAGGAAGTCATTGGTTTACGACGAAGGGTGAAGGTAATTTGATGGGATTTATTGGAATTTATTTTAATTCTCCATTTCTGACACCATTCTTCAAGGTTTGTGATGTGGGATTGAAGGGTTTGGGATGCAATAGATGGGTCGTTATTGACTGATAGGATACATGTGTCATCAGCATATGTGGTGATGACAGTGTTGGGATGGGTTGGGATGTCAGCTGTATAAACTGTGTAAAGGATAGGACCTAGGATACTACCTTGAGGAACACCTGCAGACTGGGAAAAACGGGATGTATATACATTGTTGTGATTTACTTTAAAGTATCTATCAGTAAGGTAGGAACGGATAATGAGGAAGTAGGTAGATGGTAGGAATTTTCGGAGTTTGTACAGCAGTCCCGGGTAAGGAAGTTAATTGATGAAAACGAGGTAATTACCCATACGGTTTTCCCGATTTTTTTTTATTTTAATGAAAAAGAAGAAATTTTTATTCTAGAACATTTAGTTACCAAAGAATATATGAACATATACAATAATCACATTTTGTCTGACACAAGATAAAAGTAAATAAATAATTAAATTATAAAACTATATAGAAGAAAATACCAGTATGTTTACTTATTTGAGCTAATAATATAAAAAATTTAAAAAATGAGTCAAAACTTTTGAAAAATCTAAGAAAACAAGAATAGTAATTATTTGTTTGCCTAGTTTAGCTCCATAAAAAATGTAATTAGTGATTTGTTGTAATAAACCCATGATATAGATATTCATTGCAAAATAAATTAAGTTAGTGCTCAAAATAAAGACTTTAAATACACAAAATATTATGAAGGTAGGTATTTAGCAAGAAAAGAAAGTGGTTAAAATCTAACTTTAGTTGAAAGGCAAAAACTTATTGAAACATTAAATCTTTATAATAGTTATGTTTGTTTCAAATAATTAACAAATCTCATGCTTGTATTATTACAGAATTTCATCATTATATTAAAGAACTTTATAATGAACTAAAGGAGGAAAAAGTAGAAATGTTTTCCCAGGTTAAAAAAAAATTGTATTCATTCCAAAAATACATACCATTGGAATGCTAAAGAATTTTTAAAAATTAAGATTTAAAATATACAGTCATAGAAGGTAATTGGAGGGGAGGGAGGAGAGTTATGAAAAATGCATACATTCAACAGAGCAGATGGGTGAAAAACACACAATTAATTGTTTTAAATGAATATTTTATACCATATACAATTTTTATTTTTATTTTCCTATATATGAAAATACCTATTTAAACAAAAAAAAGGGTGGTAGGTGAAAGTTGTGTGTTGTGCACACAATCTAAAATACATAAAAAGTACAGTGACACATGATGCCTATTTTGAAAATCAGGTGGCAGTCAAGGATTTAAAATGATCTTCTTTTTCGAAACTAGGGCAGAATTAATACAGCTTATTCATGTGTAAAGAACTTTAAAGTTTTTTTTTGAAAAGGGTTTTACTGAAATTCTACAAATGATGAACTCCCTTAGTCCATATACAAAATCTTAAGTCAATCTGAAAAAAGTGAAGCTAATAATAAAGATAACTATTATACTGACAAAAAACAAAATTCAGTCTTGCTTTGCAAATGTATAATTAGGCTGTAATTGTAATTATTCATTTATAAATTAAATTAATTTAAACATCAATTGAAGAGGTGGCTGGAATTATATACCATTCTATTACCCACATATGATGAAGAAATTTTGTATACTTATAATTATTGTCGTGCAGTTTTGGGAAATTACTTATTTGATAATTCATGCTCCTAATTAATAGATTACTAAAAGTTTTTAATTTGAGAATTATTACCACGAGTTTTTAAAATGGTGGCAGTTATCTTCATAATTTTTATTAGCAAATAATTATAATAATTAATAGTGCCTATACATTAGTGTGTAAAAATGACAAGGATGTTGTTTTTGTAGTTGTAACTTTTGGATGTTGTTTGATGATGAGGTCAATGGAGTCCAAACATACTAATAAGTCCCACTTAGTAGTGAGTGTTAGACCCCGATGACAAGGCCCCTAACAGACCTTTCCTAACATGTAATATGTATGAATGTATGTATGCATGCATATATATATATATATATATATATATATATATATATATATATATATATATACACACACACACATTCAAGTATTTATGCAGGAGTATTTTCATACAATGATTGATAAATCAAAAAGATGATGGATAGCATATCAAAGATTCTATAAAATAAATAAAATGTTGGAATAAATATCATGCAAGGTAAGATAAGCATAAAATATAAAATATAGCTGATATTGTTTCATGTTTGAGGCCTCATACACTTTCAGCTTTAGAAGCAATTGTAACCAAATGCTGATCTAAGTGGATAAATATCATAGATAGATCAAGAGAAATACTATCATTAACACTGAATTGAGCTGATTCATGGGATTATGAGGGGAGATTACCGCATAAATGTTTGGGATGAAATGTAATAAAAAATAGCAACAAACCATCAACACGATTTTGTCTTATTTCATAATACACGTGCAACTCACTTGTTCATAGAACCAAAATTAACCGTAGAGTGTGGAATAGCATCATCCAGTTCAGATTCAGCATGTTATTTTTTCATTTCTCCTTTAATTAAATAGAGATGGGTTCAAGAAGTTTATTAAAACAATTTATCATAAATTTTCTAGGGCTGTTTTGGTCACAAGAAAGTCTCTGGAAAATAAAAATTAAAAAATTCTAATAGACTAAATAGGCAAAAGAGCACCATAAAATTTAAAATGAATAAGAACAGCTAAAACTAGAAATGTAAGGGATTAGATTAGGCAATAGTTCGGTCAAAGATTGGGTAATAATACAAGAAAAAGTAAAACATGTTCTAAAACTGAGTTTATGGGACCTCTTAAAATTGAAAACAAAATAAAGCAGCAATTACTTCACGAAAAATCTCTTAGAAAAATTAGATATTACATCAATGCAAGGAAAAAATTAACAAACTGTTTGGATGATTAGAATTTCAAAAATTAAAAGTTAGCCATTTTAATCAAAGTTGTTAATATATGTAAACTTGAATATTACCTACACTACATTCTTTTAATAAAGTTACTAAAATGACCAACCAAAAAGCGAAAAATCAGAGGCCTCATATACATTTTCACTGTAAAACTATGAGTAGTGAACAAACTAAAAATATATTTGTCATTATAAAAAGTATGAATAAAACATCGAACTAATCAATGACTCCAAAAATTAGTTAACAATAATAAATACAAATGAAAAAAAAAAGTTACTTCCATTTTCAACCCTTCTAGCACTTGTTTTGAAAGGAATAGTAGCGTGTACAAATCTAAGGTCCATCCATTTAGGAAGGTTGATAAAAAAAGTAGTGTTTGAGGGTGGTAAAAGAGAGAGATAGAGAGAGGTGAGGAGAGCATTTTTTTATAAAAATCTTATGTCATGATATTTTGTCTTTCATCAAAGAATTTTTCAACTCTATGGAATATATCTAAAACCAATAAGAACTAATTTGGTGTTATGCCAATTAAAATTTATTCACTATATAAACTCTAAATAAAACCTTAAAATTACTGGTGTAAACAGCATATTGATTATCTTAGTTATCTTGTTTAGAAGGAATTTAAGTTTTAAACAAAATGTATTAATAAAATTAAAATAAATTTAATTAAAAATATATTTTTAACGTATATTTAAAATAAATAAGTGTAAGAAAAAATAAGATAAAATAAAATCAAAAGGGATAATTTAGCCGACAATCGGAATAAATTATTAAAGGAAGCATATTATTTAGGAATAGAGTTTCATTAAAAAGAATAACTTCTCATCACATAAATATAGTAAATTAGGTGTTATTATTACAATAAATAAATTTAAAGTTACAAGTTACCTGCTTCTGCAAGAGCTGCAGCCACCTCATTCTGAAAAATAATAATGATTAAAATATACTATGACAACATAAATTAAGATGAGTTACCACTTAGCGGTTAAGATATATATAGTTTAACTTTGCAATAATTGGTTTAATTAATCAATAAAACTTTAACTATTACAATAAGAAACAAAAATGAGAAAAATCTAGATAAATACAGTGAAACTTCCTGAAGCCGACACCTACTTGTAGCTGACTTTTGTGTACTATATGATTCCCATCTGATTTTCATAATTTTATAATATAAATGACTTATTTACAACGGACACAGACAGGCTTCATGTAAGGATTTTTATAGAAAAGTTCCTCCATAATGGACAGCAGAAAGCAAGTGAGCCTTATATCCAATTTATAGTGCTTTAATACAATTATATATACTGAAAATTCTATTTTTAAATATGGGTTACAGTTTTAAGTTATTATTGCTAGTTCTACAGTATCAACTCGCTTTAGTATACTTTCAAAGAAAAATTAGAAGAACAGAGGTGGCACAAATATGTGACATTTTAATGGAGATAAATATTTGGAATGTTAATGCCAAAAAATAATTTCCTTAAACTTCAGATTTGGCCATAGAACAAGTTACACATAAATGATTTTGCCAAGCTTATTTCTTAATCAATTAGCATTCGTGCTACCATTTCGAACAATTATACTTGTGCTGTATCTGTGAGGTGATAATACATTTTTGTGACCTTTATGTCTTCCAAATGAACTTAGTTTACCTAGAGATTATTAAAAGATTACAAAATAGTTGATTAAATACCAATAATAAGTCATATTAGTTACTTCATCACCTATTACAATTCAGAAACAGATGGCCAGCAAGATAAGGAACCCCAATGGAAGCAGCTCAATTATAAATTAGTAGACTGAAAAAAAAATTTCATTTTTAAGAAAGGCATTGAAGGGGTTGGTCATAATCTATCCCAGCTAGTTTGTAAAAAAAATACTTATACACCAAAAAGCTCTAACAATAATTAAAAATCACTATTTTCAGTAATTATTGGGTTGACCGGAAAATTATGCAGGATTTTGAGTTTTCTTTAAAATACCCCTCTATGTAATAAACTCTTTACATTTACTCGATTATTCAATTTTATGAATGTCAACACTTATTAATCCTCTTACAAACGATAATGTTTGTTTACCTCTGTAGCATTTCGCTGCTTAGAAATAATTCAGTCTTTACTAAATGTCAACACGTGATTTTCGTATAAGTTTGTTTTATGAGGCAGAATGGGGCCTAGACAGCCAGAAACATCAATCAAGTCTGAGGCAAGAGCAGCATTAATGAGTGCACTGTTCGATGAAGATTCAAACAATTTCAGGGAGGGAGATTTCAGCCTTGAAGATAAAGGTCGTGGAAGGACTTCCTATCTTGATGACGATGTTCTGCGGACTTTGGTGGAAGAAAATCTCAGAACTGTTCGAGAACTTGCATGAAAACTTAATCTTAACAAATCAAATGTCGATGACCACCTTAAGGCAACTGAAAAGGTAAAAAAGCTTGAAAGGTGGGTTCCACAGACATCAGACAACAGCCAAAAAACCCAGCATTATGAAGTTTGTGCTACACTTCTTTGCCGAAACAAAAATGATCCTTTTCTGTCGAGAATGGTTACTTGTAATGAAAAGTGGATACTTTACGAGAATAGTAGAACATTTTCCAAAGCCCCTAACTCATAAAAAAAAGTGATGGTTACTGTTTAGCGGGCTTCATTTGGTTTGATACACAACAGTTTTTTAAATCCTGAAGAACCTATCAATGCCGAATCGTTTTGTAACCAAAGGTAGCCTGAAGAGAAACTGGTATGAGGGCCTAAAGGAAGGAATGATGAACAGGGGCATACGTGAAGGAGACTGGCAGGACAGAAGATGGCAACAATTTATAATTGGTGATGACATATGACCAATGTTGTAAAAGTCATGAGATAAAAATAAAATAAAATACAATTTTTTTTTATGATTTTTAGTTTTTTATCATGTACTACTTCCAGTCTCTATAAAATGAGCATCTTTCTATAGCAGACAAAATTTGATTCTCCTTGGTGCCCGCTACTGAGAAGTTTTACTGTATAATCTTCCAACACAGTTAAAGCAAGTAAGTTCACAGTAAATATACATTTTTTAATACCAGATACAGCTAGTTTATAAAAAGTAGTGGTAACTATTTTTCCTTTAAATGATTCTATAATTGAGGAATGACAATGGTTTATACACAAGGAGGATAAAGTATTTTAAAAGAAGAATACAATGAAAAATAGCTAACAAAGGAAAAGATACAGAAATTAATCATAGAATGTAAAGCATTTTTTTGTGATATGTTGAACTAGTGTGTTGCAATTAACTATTGGTATGGACCCAAGACATTGTTTGGACACAGTCCAGGTACAATTTATTGCAACAGTTCTACAATGTAACACAACTTGGTCCCAAGGTACTTAAGAAAACTTGAGTCAGCAATGGGATGTCTAAGGATAATCTAGGAACCCCCCCCAAAAAATCTTTGTGATTACTAAAATGTTAAGAAATCTATATACCTGTGTGGAGTAAATATTACATGCAGACCATCTGACTTGGGCTCCTAATTCAACGAGAGTCTCCAATAACACAGCAGTCTGAGCATTTATATGGGTACATCCAACAATCTTCGCATTCCTCAATGGTTTATCTTCAACTGCTCTCTTTTTTAAGGCCATTATTCCAGGCATCTCTAAAAAATAACGAAAATACAAAACCTTTGATCCTAAAATAGGTTGTTAAAAATTTAATCAGTTATAAAAACTATCAATAAAAATGTGGTGCTCGCAACACATAACTTTCACTTACCGCTCTAATTTGAATCAAAATTATTTTCTGGCAATGTTGGGTTATTATAAAATTTTTTAAGTGCATTTTTAATGGAGCTAAAGCTTAAAGATTACAGCTACCAAATAATTAAGACCATTAAAATAACAAAAACCCTCTTTATTATATCGACGGTAGGCAATAAAAAGATCATTACTCCATCTATTTTTGTAAGCCACATAACTCCAGTCAATGAGCTATATATATGCCTAGAGGGATTTGAAAGTACATCTGTACATTCATCCTATAAATGATTATGGATTGTACAACTATTAGTTATTAAACTGTTATTCTCTTTTGTAAAGTGTACTTAAATGAAATTAAGAGATTTTCATTCCTTGCCATAGATAGGTCGAAAGTTGGGATTTCACAAAGGAAAAATTCATATAATTATTCACTGATTCAATTTTCTAAAAGGTTACATGATGATTTTTCGGAATAAACAGAGGATTATTTAATAATAATCCTAATTATTTAAATAAAATATCAAATATAGTTATTAAACTACAGTAAATGTATATAAGCTTATAAACATCTGTTTTAAACAACCATAAAATATTTTTATATTTCACTTCTTCTTTCACACAAGCACAATGAAATAGTTTTTAAACAATTTTACTACCTTGATTTGGTGGATTTTAAATACATTTTTATCAAACTTAAAAAAAAATTTAAAAGTTTAAATTTAGTTAATAAATCTCATTAAATTTTCTTGGAAACATGTGCTTTCCGTTAAATAATATTAGTTTTCACAAATCATTATTTATAATGATTTTCATCACTCTCCATTACCTTCTATATTTTCTATATAGAATTTTTTTTCATTTTTTTTCTAAAATTCTCAACTTTCCAATAATATATTATAGGATACCTTCTGACTAATATTTCCAGATATTCATTTTCAATCTAAATAAACATTTTTCCTTTTTTATTCATTATTCAATAATCAAATTATTCCAAAAATTATATTTAGATTTTTTCGTAACTCCTAACAAGGAGAGATAGTTAGTTACTTAAAATAAACCAAATTAAAGGTACTTTAGAGAAAGAAATGTCGAATATTGGGAATTTAAGTCCTGTAAAGCGACATCAATGGGGATAAGACCTAAATAATATTAAAGACCACTTAATTATACAATGATACACAGAGTTCAATTAAAATTACTAGAGCCGTTTTTGTGAAAATTGTAAAAATGATGATATAAAGTGGCACTTTCGGTAAGTCGATTTTAAGAAAAAGTTTCTGTAACATCCCAGGCATATGAATTACCTTAAATATGTATTTTCAGTTTCTTATGACTTTTCGTTTTTAAGCTAGACTGTTCACACAAACACCTCTGTGATGAGGTTGATATAGATCTCTGGGGCAGGCCATATGAAATAGCACCGAAGAAATTAAGCAACGGTTTGTTGCATGTCCTAACATGACTGGATGTTGATGACATCGTCAGAACTTATTCCCGAAACAGGTGACAACTGTCCAATTCCACGAAGATTCGTACCCAGTACCCTGGAAGAGACAGGGTCTTGTACTGATACCGAAGAGTAAAGGAAATACAAAGGACCAGTTGACTTATCGTCCTATTTGCCAGCTGGATACTACTATAGGAAAGGTTTTTGAGAAAATTCTTTGTCTCAGGCTACAAGAATTTACTGAGTGCAAATGGTCTGTTAAAGGGCCAATATGGATTTTGAAAAGAGTGATCTACAGTGGATGCTATTAGACTTGTGGCTGATATTTCACAAGTCTAAAAAATAATTACAAGAGTAAGATGGAGAAGGGGAGCGAAATGTTATGCGGCAATCATAACTCTAGATATCAAAAATACTTTTAACACGGCCAGATGGCCCTGCATATTGGATGCCTTACAAACTATGGCTGCTCCTGATTATCTTATAAGGGTTATCACAGACTACTTCAGGGATAGAGTACTGTTTTATGACTCAGATATCAGACCAAGGAGATATAATGTCACTGGTGGTGTCCCATAGGATTCCGTCTTAGGAACTATCCTATGAGACATCATGTGTTACAGGAGTTTTCAGGCTACCATTGCCAGGAGGAGCTACAGTTGTAGGCTTCACAGTTGATGCTGCAGTGGTGGTAATGGCAAAGGAAGTAACCCTGATTGCTAATCAAGCTGTTGCTTCTATCCGAGGTTGGCTGACTTCTGTCGGCCTGCAACTTGCCGATCACATGACTGAGGCTGTTTTGTCCCTAGTAGAAAGAAACTTTAGACTATCTCTGTCACAGTAGGTAGGCACGAGATTCGTTCTCTCAGCCAATCTCTGAACTAGCTGGGAGTCCTCATTGATGCACGTCTCAAGTTCAATGCCCACATGGAGTATATCAGCGCTAAAGCTTCTAAAGTCATGTCTTTATTATCACATCTTATGCTGAACGTAGGAGGGCCTAAAGAGTCGTAGAAGGCTTCTTGCGCTTGTTATATCTTTGTTCCTTCTATATGGAGCTCCAATTTGGAAATAAGCAACGCTCACGGAATCATACAGAAGACAGATGGTCTCGGTGTATCGCAGATCTTTACTAAGGGTAGCTAGTGCACTCCAGACTGAATCCTATGAAGCGGTATGTGTAATAGCTAGCATGACTCCTGTTGAACTGTTAGTTGATTAGAGAAGCAGATCATATAGTAGAAACTCAAGAGTCTCAAGGGAAGAAGAATGGAAATTAACCATTAACCTGGCAACACCATACTTATAGATTCTTTCTAACATAACAAAATACTAAACAACAACAGACTTTTCATAGAGAAAATAAAAATATATGTTCAAGACGAGAAGATAAAGGTATATATAGCATTTCCAAGTCAATTTCACCCTTTTCCAAGTCCAATTCAACCTTTTCCAAATCAAATTAAACTTTTTCCAAGTCAAATTCAACCTTTTCCATTTCAAATTAAACCTTTTCCATTTCAAATTCAACCTTTTTTTATTTATTTAATTATCTTTAATTTTTCGATGTGTGGGTCTGTTATCGTATGAGTAGTTTTTGAAAATAACCTCCTTTTTAAGATTACGTGACTGAGTTTCGAATTATTTAAGTTTTTTTGAATTATTCGATATAAGGGTGTATTTTTATGTTTCCCGATCAGTAAATTTTGAAAATGACATCCATTTTATGTTTACGCCACTGTGTTTTGACTTATTTAAGTTTTTAGAATTTATCCAATATAAAGGTCTACTTTTATGTTTCTGGAGCCGTATATTTTTAAAACGACCTCCATTTTAAGATTAGGCCACCGCGTTTCGACTTATTTGAGTTTTTCGGATTTTTTTCATATGAGGGTGTAATTTTTTTTTTTTTTATGTTTCCGGAGCTGTATATTTTGAAAATAACCTCCATTTTAAGATTAAGCCACTGTGTTTCGACTTATTTAAGTTTTTTTTATTTATTCGATGTAAGGGTGTATTTTTATGTTTCTGGAGTCGTAGATTTTGAAAACGACCTCCATTTTAAGATTAGACCACCGCGTTTCGACTTATTTGAGTTTTTCGGATTTTTTTCATATGAGGGTGTAATTTTATGTTTCCGGAGCTGTAGATTTTGAAAATAACCTCCATTTTAAGATTACGCCACTGCGTTTTGGCTTATTCAAGTTTTTCGAATTTATCCAATTTAAAGGTCTACTTTTATGATGCCGGAGCCTTAGTTTTTAAAACGACTTACATTTTAAGATTAGGCCACCGCGTTTCGACTTATTTGAGTTTTTCGGATTTTTTTCATATGAGGGTGTAATTTTTTTTTTTTTTATGATTCCGGAGCTGTAGATTTTGAAAATGACCTCCATTTTAAGATTACGCCACTGCGTTTCGACTTATTTAAATTTTTTTTACTTATTCGATGCAAGGGTGTATTTTATGTTTCCGGAGCTGTAGATTTTGACCAAGCCGCTCCATTTTATGACCACGCCGCTGCATTTTGACTTATTTAAGTTTTTCGAATTTATCCAATATTAAGGTCTACTTTTATGTTTCTTCAGCCGTAGATTTTGAAAATGACCTCTGTTTCATGATTACGCCATTGCATTTTGACTTATTTAATTTTTTCGAATTTATCCAATTTAAAGGTATACTTTTATGTTTTCGGAACCGCATATTCTGAAAATGACCTCTATTTTATGATTACGCCACTGCGTTTCAACTTATTTAAGTTTTTAGAATTTAACAAGTATAAAGGTCTAATTTTATGTTTCTGGAGCAGTAGATTTCCCCCATTTTGTAAATAACCCAATTTCAAGTTTATGCCACTGTGTTTTGGATTATAAATTTTTTTTTTTTTTTACTTTTTCGGTATAAGGATCTACTTATATGTTTTCCGAGACGTATTGAAATTTTTCTAATCTTTAATATTTAAATTTATCTAATATTTAAGCTCCATTTTATGATTAAGCCGCTGCATCTCGAATAATTAGGCTTCATTTTGGATTTTTTCAATACAAAGTTTCATCAATATGTTTTCGAGTATGAATTAATAAACAAATATTATGAAGCTAAAGTTAAATTAACCACAGAATACAAACTAAAAAGCCGAAAAGCAGCTGGTAATAAATTTAACCTTCTGTATTCAGATTTTTCAGCTAATTGTTCGAAATCTTATAATTTTGTGACAGGAGACCACAACATTAAAAAAGATAACTAAAATTAAATTAAAAATGAGACAATACATATTTTATTTATTTTGATTAGATATTTTTATTTATTTATTGAAAAATAAATTAATCCTTCGTATTTTGTTTTTTATTCGAAGAAAAAATCAAAAACACTTAAAAAAACCGAAACACAGTGGCCTAATCTTAAAATGTAAGTCGTTTTAAAAACTAAGGCTCCGGTATCATAAAAGTAGAC